GTCTTCTCCTCCTGTCGTCGTCGTCCCCTTCTCTCCCCGCTTTCTCCCTCTCCCGAATGTCAGAAGATGCGAACGCTCTCTTTCGCCAGGCCGCCCGGCATGGCCTTCAAATGCCGCCCTCTTGCACTTGCGATTGCCCAAGCCTGTCCATCCACTTAGGGCTCCTCAGGTTCCCGTTCCTGCCTGGTGGGGTCCCCCCCTGCCTCCCCGCTCCGCTGCATTCTTGTGCCTGGCCGCCCTGTATGGCCTCAACATTCCGCTCTCTTTCACATCTGCCCCCGTCACATGCCGCCCTCTTTCACTTGCGATTGCCCAAGCCTGTCCATCCACTTAGGGCTCCTCAGGTTCCCGTTCCTGCCTGGTGGGGTCCCCCCCTGCCTCCCCGCTCCGCTGCATTCTTGTGCCTGGCCGCCCTGTATGTCCTCAACATTCCGCTCTCTTTCACATCTGCCCCCGTCAAATGCCGCCCTCTTTCACTTGCGATTGCCCAAGCCTGTCCATCCACTTAGGGCTCCTCAGGTTCCCGTTCCTGCCTGGTGGGGTCCCCCCCTGCCTCCCCGCTCCGCTGCATTCTTGTGCCTGGCCGCCCTGTATGGCCTCAACATTCCGCTCTCTTTCACATCTGCCCCCGTCAAATGCCGCCCTCTTTCACTTGCGATTGCCCAAGCCTGTCCATCCACTTAGGGCTCCTCAGGTTCTCGTTCCTGCCTGGTGGGGTCCCCCCCTGCCTCCCCGCTCCGCTGCATTCTTGTGCCTGGCCGCCCTGTATGGCCTCAACATTCCGCTCTCTTTCACATCTGCCCCCGTCAAATGCCGCCCTCTTTCACTTGCGATTGCCCAAGCCTGTCCATCCACTTAGGGCTCCTCAGGTTCCCGTTCCTGCCTGGTGGGGTCCCCCCCTGCCTCCCCGCTCCGCTGCATTCTTGTGCCTGGCCGCCCTGTATGGCCTCAACATTCCGCTCTCTTTCACATCTGCCCCCGTGCGGGGGGTAGTCCGCGCGCCCCGCAGCCGGCCCCGCGCGCTGCTGTGTGGCTGCGCCTCTCTGTCCTCCCCGTCCCTTTCTTCTCATCTCGTCGTCGTCCCCTCCTCCCCGTGCCGCCCACCCTCGCCCGCCCTCCCCTGGGCACGGCCTCCCCCCTCCTAGGCACGCCCCCCCCCCCCCCCAGTTGAGATTATTATGTCTAGGACCTGTTAGGCATGTTGTCTCATACGCTAGAAGCAGTACCGTACTGTAATGTACTGGCTCAAGTCAAAGCAGTAAAAGATTATCATCTTTATTGCCATTAGTTCATATAGCTTTCGCTTAAAGAACTTAATATTTCCAGTTCAGGATTTTCATCAGAATCTGGAGTTTGGTAGCGGAGCCAGTCGGCTCCCTGCCTTCTGGCTCTCTCTCTGCCGCAGGACCTACGGTTACGGCACCGACGACACGTACGAGATTATCATCACCTGGTGTTCAGATATTTGGGTTGTTTCAGTATATCAAGATATACATTACCAGACACAGAGTTGGATCAAACACGGATTATGTTATCTGAAGTTCGGTTGGAAAGATGTTGGCCCCACCGCAGACTACCCCACTCTCCCTCAAGCAGTATTCTAAGGACATACCGCCAGGCTGGCGACCACGGGCATATCCAATTCGTGAGTATCGTGAAGCATTGGAGATATGGAGTCGACTCACACGGTTGGAACAAGACCAGCTTGGCGCAGCGGTCATGAGCAGACTTGAGGGCCCAGCGCTACGAGCAGCTCAAGACCTACGCGTGACGCGACTTGATCAGGCAGGTAACGTTGTGAACTATCGTGGCATCGAGGCGGTCAGTCTACCAAGAGTTGCAGCAATATTAGACGGCCAAGGCAATGAACTCGCCCCACTACAGCACAGTGGAATCAAGATTCTGAATGACAGATTATTTGAGATGTATGGACTGGATGATCAAGATCTGGCCTGGACCTCACTGGATAGATTCTTCACTTTGCGTCAGGGATCCAGTCAAGACTTCATCTCATACCTCTTCGAGTGGGATCATTTATACGAAGAAGCTGAACGATATGGAGGCTTACAAATGGGCGAGTCAGCTAAGGCGTGGCTTTTCTGGTCACGGACGACGTTTGCTGACAAGACGCTCGCGGATCTACGCTTGAAGGTCAATGGTGATCTCAACAGATGGCGCGGGATGGTTCAATTGCAGTTAAAGGTAAGCAAGAACGAGATGGCAGCCAATGAACAGCACGTCGGATATAAGAACTACTGGGAAGATTCAGACTCCTGGACGAGAGAGTATGAATACGATTACGACAACTACTACGAGGATGATGAGGAGTACTACGACGAGTGGTACGACGAAGAGTACGATGATGATGATGATTGGTATGACGACAATGGAGATCAAGATGGATACGGAGGCGCAGCAGCAGGTGGCACTTCATCATCTCTTCCATCCCCATCGACACCGGACGAGGACTACTGGCAGAATGTACGCGGAAAAGGATCATACGGCAAAGGAAAGAGCAAGGACGACAAAACCGGCAACGGCAAGAACGGCAAGAAAGGAGGCAAGAAACGACAAGGATATCAGTGTACGCTATGTGGATCAAGATGGCACAATTCTGACACCTGCCCTCTCAAGGATGATCAGAAAGAGGACAACGCGTATCAGACTGACGAGCAGTATGATGAGGAGTACTACGGACAAGGAAAAGGCTATCGTAAAGGAAATCGCAAGGGTAAAAGACGTGGCAACGGCAAAGGATACGATCGAGATCGGCACCGAGGTTATCAAGACAATCGAGGATCTCACGACCATCATCGACGCGATGTTCCACGTTTCGGCAGAAGCGACTTCCAGCAGCGACAGCAAAAAGGCAAAGGACGTGGCAAGAAAGGTTACAGATCGAAAGGAAAAGGCTACGACCAACGACGACAGTTCTATCAAGACACTGATCGCGAAGATGACGCATATGGAAGCTACACGACCTTGCCGGCCATCCATGAACATGAAGAACCAGATGAACAGGCAACAGTACCAAATGATGCATCCACGTACGAGCGAGACAAGAACATCATGACACGGACCCCTTTATCTTCAGGAGCGTGCCAATTCGTACCTACCTCGACGGCGGCAGAGAGAACACCGACACGGAAAGGATCAGCATACGACGACATATTCGGCATCGGAGAGAGAACCACAGTTGGACAGGGACAACCACGGCATCCACCTGGGTTAGGCCCAGCAGCTACGGCGACTGGAGCGACGAGCTCAAGCTTTTCGGCATCATCAAGCTCAGTTTCGGTTTCTGCGTCTACTCATACCTGCTACAGATGTTTCTCGGCGGCGATTGCGAAGTGCGGTACATGTTCACGTTCGTTTTGCATATGACACGGATTCAAAGGACACTTGATGGTGATGTGCTCTTCTTGTCTGGACCTCTCAGCTGCCCGGCAGCAACAACAACATCAATCACAGCAAGATGCACATTCACCTGGGACCGCTTCTCAGCAGCAGACTACACCAAACTCTGATGACACGTCATCAAGTTAGATGTTGATACCGAGACCGGACGAATCGCAGATTCAGGACGAGCCGGAGGAGTTTGCAGCATTGCCAGCCTCTGGCAACCCGTTCAAGAACTTGGCGGTCATCAGCGGAGTCAACGTCATCGGCCTCATCGTAGACCCTGGAGCGGCTCGCGGTCTTATCGGAAGTGCTACTCTTCGAGAGATTTTCGACAAGCTACTACGACCTCGCGGCTTGATGAAACACGTGATGTGGTATCGTTCAAAGAACAAGTTCACTGGCATCTCATCTCAGCCCCAGCACAGCATCGGTATATGTGTATTTCCGATTGGCCTGGTTGGAATGAAGCATGCTTACTTTTCTTGCGATGTCATCACAGGTCAGTCAGCGAACTGTCCTGGACTCATTCCACTACAGACTCTGCTACGACTCGGCAGCATCATATCGTGCGGACACTTCCAGAATCAAGACGGACTTCTGGGACTGAGACTCGGCAATGGCGAGATGTGCTCACAGAGGATTCTCTTGACGGACTCATCGCACTACTTACTTCCGATCGACAACTTCGACAAAGAAAAGAACAACGTGTGGAACAAAACTGCGCTTCAGCATCAGCAGGAAGTGGACGACGGAGCACATCAGCAAGGACAGCATCATCACGGAGTCACTCTCATATCCATGATCGACGGCAACGACCGAGCACCACATGAGGACCACGGGACTCATTTTCACTGAGTCCTGGGCACGACGCTAAACTGTTCACTCCAGATACTCTTACCTCATTCTCATCTACAACACGGAAATACTATCGAGATTGGCAAGCTCTTTCTTCAAAGGAATCTTTCTCACTGTGGAATGGCGAACCACTCTTTCCTTCACACCTACTTCCAGAGGAGTTGGCAGTTGCAAGGACCGAATTCAATTCGATCCCAGAAATGTTCTACGCGACCTACACCTGGCTACCGGTCATCACGCCCGAGAACTACGACGCTTTCGAGGCAGCAATGGCCAAGGGACCTTATTGCGGATATCCGATTCTATGGAGTTGGTGTTCAGGTTCATCCCATCTATCTCTCTGTATGGCATCATTACCCTTCTTATGTGCAGTACTTTTCCCAATTGACCTACGCTACGGATGGGACCTCAAACGTCGACCTCATCAACTCAAGTTACAGAGAGCAGACAAGACGTTCAAACCAAGAGTTACAACGATGGAGCCAAGATGCAAGTATTGGAGTCACATGGGCACTGGACGAGACATCAAGGACACCATAGAGTTACGAGAATCAGAAATGCCCATGCTGAAGTTCATGACCTCACACGCTGTCAAGATCAAGCAGGACTTCCGAGACAATCTTGTGGAGAATCCAAGATCTTCTAGTATTTGGACGAAGTCTCCCTTGGCAGCTCTCCTTGATCATCCAGCTTATTCGAATCAACGCTACAATACTTGTATGTGTGCTTTCTCCAGTGAAAAGGACGGCAGAAGGAACAAGAAGGACACTACGTTGATTTCGACTTTCTGTCTCAGTCATTCTGTGAAGCGCTGCAGCTGCAAGAAGGAGCACATACATCTTCAAGGCTACGATAAGGAGACGCATCGCAAGCGGACAGCAGCAGCAGCAATGTTTTCAAAGAAGTTCTGTACGGCACTCTGCAAGGACATCTTGGCCCTGGAGTCCAAAGAACCCGGAATCTCCATCAACAAGTTCTCAAGAGCTTTCCCGGCAGCAGCAGATGACGAGGCAGAAGATGAAGCACCATTAGCTCAGTTACCAGCACCAGCAGGACCTAAGTCCATAGACGACCTCATGGAAGAATTCAAGGACATCGACACCAAGAGCATCAAGATCACGCTCGACACCTTCACGCCCACGGAAGTACAATGGATCAAGGCAGCGATTCTCTCCATCACCGATTACACTATGAGTTTCGGCGTTCCTGGGACACCTACCGGACGGATTTTGATGTTGCCTGGTACTGGTAGGCCACAACAAGAAGGTGCACGAGTTCTCTGTCATGCTCTCAGCCAAGTTTACATGACCAGGACTGTGACATCTCAATGCCATATGTCGGAAGCACACAAGTTTGACGAGACTGAGTTCAGCAATCCTGATGACTACAAAGATCGCATCATATTTCTTGGCAACAAGGACGGCCACTACCACATGAGCGTAGTCAAGGATTGGAGAAGCGCACCTGAAGACGACATAGACACCACGACGATGATCTACATCATCACTCTCCTCGGCGTTCACCTTTCAGATATTATACTCGACGGTCCTCCCGGCCGACGAGATCAAGCTCGACGACTCAGAGGAAAGCAACCACGACCTACACACGGGCCATATGCTATTCCACCAGAGAGGCCTGGACCACTTGCGGCTTCTACTGACGATGCCATCGAGAAGATCGAGATCAACGGCCGTGTCTTATCACGGACGAAGCCCAACATGGAACTTCGGGAGCTACCCAAGAAGTTGACTCATGCCAACGAGAAGGATCGTGCCGGACTACTGCGTCTACTTCATGAACGCTTCTGGCACTATTCTCCACTGGACATGATGAAGTTGCTGCAGGCCATGCTCTTACCTCAGGCTATCGTCCTACAAGGCATGGAGATTTGCAAGGCTTGTGAAGTTTGTCAGCAATGGGCTAAACGTCACATACGACCTCAGATTAAATCGTTTTTGGCTACAGTGTTCAACGAGATGGTACAGCACGATTTGTTCTTCCTCTGGGATGAAACGTTCATGATTCTTATTGATGAAGCTACTAAGTGGAAGACTGGCGACCACCTCATCAACAAGACGGGCCCAGTCTTGGTGAAAGCGCTCAACTACCTTTGGATACGCATTTGGGGCGCGATGCAGAACCTTCTCACTGATCAGGAAGGAGGTCTCATGGGACACGAAGCCACCAAGCTATGTGATCGACTCGAGATCAACAGACTGGCTATCGGCAAAGGAGGCGCTACCACCAAAGGACTTGTCGAAAGGCATCTAGCTCTTCTCAAGCTTTCTATGCTCAAGCTCAAGCAGTCAAGTCAAGCAGAAGGATTGGATCTCAGTTACTCCGACATCTGCTACGAGTGTTGCGCTGGCCACAATTGTACTCTCAACTATGGCGGCAGCACTCCACAGTTGGCCTTGACTGGACAACTACCGAGGATGATTGCGATCGACAGCGAGACCATCACGTCCATGACGGGCGCCCTCGAGAAGCGTCCTGACTACATGGAGTCTATGTCACGCGCAAGACTATTGGCTCGACAGGCTATCGTACAGTCAGTTATCCAAGATCGATTAGCTCAGGCATCCAAGATAACTCAGCACCAGCACGAGCCGGAGCTACTCGTTCCGGGAACGATATGTGACATTTGGCGAGAACCAGCACGGAAAGACGAATGCGGATGGCGAGGACCAGCGGAAGTTATCAGCCTAGAGCGACGCGCAGGATCGGCAATAGTCAAGCACCAGGGCCAGCCGCTTATCATTCCTCTACGACATCTTCGGCGACATGTTCTCACCGAGCACTACATCACGGAACTCAACAAGAAAAATGACATGAGCAGCTTCTACATACACTACGACCTGGTCAACCCTACGATGGTCAAGGCAGCGGCTACCTTTCTGGCACCATATCAGATATATGCCGATGGAGTTTTGGTTCCTTCGGAAACGTTGTACGACCTGATGGATTTAGTTGATGGATCTACGCCCACTAAGATATATTGGTTCGGCCTGGTATGGCAGCAAGAGCAGTATCGATATGTTCCCAGTGAAGAAGCGTGCGATTCATGCAAGCCTTTGGCCCTGGGCATCAAGATATTCAGCGATACGTTTAAGCCTGTGCATGGTATCTTGTACGGCTCACAAGTACGTCGACTTCCTCAGATTGAATATGCACAGTGGGCTCTACTGCTACGCTGGCGACGAGAGGGCCGAGCTGACTACAGTATTCGTGTACGACGTCCAGACATAGCTCTTCGCTATACAGCCGAGCAATCTACCAACTACAGCACAATGATGCTCTACAGCTATGACCATTGCGAGGATCTGGACTGACATCAGCATGATTGACTGGCCTGACGACCTCTCTGACATTGTTATTCCGGATCAGCAGCCACCGCGCGATCCACCAGCACCGCCAGCTCGGGCACCACCAGTTCCACCTTTTCGGTCAAATGCTATACCTCCACAGGAGCCTGGACAACCACCAGATCAGCCATCGCATGGTCAACCCTCGACGGCACCAGCTACGGCAGGCACGCCGCAGCTCAACGTCCCAGGCGACCAGACTGTCGACAGCGACGACGACATGGAGGAGATACCAGCTCATGGACATGATCACGACCTACCTCCAGCACCTGGACCAGCACCTCGACGCATCTCTCGAGAGGCACCTATGGGTCCACCTTCGTTGCAGCCACAGCACCGAGACACACGAGGATCAGAGGATTCACTGCAGACTCCAGCTACTCCTGACAAGCTACCTTATATTCCTCTCGACTTGGACAAGTCCAAGACAAGCACGGCGGAGAAGCAGAAAGCAGTTGATCCTCCAGACGCGGCACAGTCACCACCTCAGAAGCGAGGAAGATCATCATCGCCATATCCATGGCCCTCTCCTTGGCAGCCTGATTCACCACCACGACCACCGACGACTTCTACGGGGAGATATCAACCAGGAGCTTCTTCATCGTCAACGGACTTACCAGCGGCTACACCGGGTGCGTCTTCGACACAGCCAGCTCCAGCGGATTCGACGGAACCGCCTATACTTCCCATTCGTAAAGATGAAGTACCAGCAGGCGAGCAACCCTCGACTTCTACTGACAGAACTCTGGAATACAGCGACGACCCAGATGGAGATACCAGAGTCTTATACCAGGAGATGATTGACCACCTTGACATCCCCAAGATTGTCAATCTATGCGAACGACTACCCGACGGAACTCACAAGCAAAGTATGGAAGCAATTTATGACGAGATGATCAGCAACCTTTCAGATGATTTTGATTTTGTATCTCCGACACTTTACTCCGACTCGGACCGGTACCTATACTTCCATTACGATTTGCATGAGTCAATGGTTTTTCGAGTTGATGATTCGACGGCGAACCTCACAGACGACGAGATGAGACGTTTTGCGAAGTTGGTTATTGCAGGAGATCATAAGGAGTTGAAGGCTTTTGTTACTCATGATATTTTCGAACCTGTACTTCGAGACCACCTACCCGATAAGGCGAACATAGTTGATTGCACATGGGTGAGGAAATGGAAAGTCAAACACGTCGAAGTCAAATCACGACTATGCGCTCGCGGCTGTTTCGACCGACAAAAGAACTTTATCGAGAAGCACAGCTCGACAGCGACAAGATTATCGCAGCGCTTGGTTTTGAGTTTAGGATGTTGTGAAGGTATTTTACATGTGAACGACGAGAAGGACGGCGACGTCGACACCGAGAGCCTGGATATTTCAACGGCTTTTCTACAAGGACTTGGATGTGACAATCTACGCGAGAAAGCAAGGAATCTCGGCTACGAATATCGCGAAGACCGGACAGTCTACATCCTCCCTCCGGAGAATGTATGGAGTCACTTTCGACGCATGCCAGAGGCATCTTCCAGTTGGAAAGTTGCTGACAAGGATCGACACAGATATGCCCTCAAATGCTTGAGAGCAATGTATGGTTTCACAGACGCACCATTGATGTTTCAGTTGGCCTTGTTGGAGTTTCTCAAAGATAAGACAGGAGCTAAATCATCGGTTTTCGACGACAACTATCTCTACTGGGGCATCGATTACAAGGGCAACAAGGTGATCGTTCTAGTTATGACTGTTCATGTGGATGACCTACAGATTACTGGCAGCAGATTCTATCGCGATTGGATACACAAGAAGTTGGAATCCAGATTCGGCAAGCTCAAGAGGCAGACAATGCCATATACACATGCTGGCCTACAGCTTGAACGAATCGTACCGACGTGTATACGCATACATCAAGACCAGTTTACATCATGTCTTTCGCCATGTGTTATACCAAAAGAGCGAGTTGATGTACCAGATGCTCCCTGCACGGCAGCAGAACACAAGACGTTCAGATCTCTTACTTGTGGAGCACTTTGGGCATGCCAGACACGACTGGAGGAACTATTCAACGTTGTTTCTCTACAGACCAAGCTACAGAGTCCGACCATCAAAGACCTTTTGGCGATCAACGCAGTGATCAAGAGACTCAAGAAAAATCCCGAGAAGTTTGGCATTTACTACCGAAAGCTCAAGGCACCACTACGGATCTCTTGCATCACGGACGCCTCTTCAGCCAACAAGAACAGCAATTTCGCCACAGAAGGAGTCACGATAGGTCTTCAAGAAGACCGACTACATTTTCCTTTATGTGATCGACAAGATTATCTGCAGGACAATCTGATCAATCGGCTCAGTGGCAAGCTACATGCATTGGTGGTTACTTCGACCAAGTCTAAGAGAGTTTCACACAGCACGTCCCATGCAGAAACGTTGGCAGCAGCACGAGGAGTTCCCATGGCACAGATTATCGGCATGAGGCTCACAGAACCGGAGATTAACATTCTATGTGGACCTCAGAAACCACCACAGCTTCAAGAACGACTCGACCGTGGGCAGTTGAGTTTACCAGTGGACGCTTTCATTGATTGTATGGACCTGTGGGAGTTATGTTGTGGACTTCGAGGAACACCGCAGGACAAGTCACAGCGTTTGGGTATTCTGTCGCTTCGAGAAGAGCGACGAACCCTGAGATTACGACGACTTTATCATGTTCGTACTAAGTGGATGGTTTCAGATATGTTGACAAAGTTCGTGGGAGCAGATTCCAAGTCACTCTTGGAGCTGATCACCACCGGTTGCTGGACGATTGCAGGCACACTACGAGTCAGGCAAGGATTTGGACTAGACAGTACCAAGTCAGACGCAGCAAGACCATGATATTTCCAGTTCAGGATTTTCATCAGAATCTGGAGTATGATCTGGAGTTTGGTTTTATATATGAGATATTATATGAGCAGCTCCACATGTATAGCACTGTTCGACTTCAATTGTGGAGCTAGTATTTTATGTTCACCTTTATCGGCTACCACTTCGAGATAGAGTTCATCAGATTTATTTCAATGGATCTATTTCAGTTGATGTATTTCAATGGACTGATATTTGGTGGCCGTGGTGGATTTGATAAGCCTGTTATGGCTTACTTAGGACTGCTGTCCTACTCTTCTCCTTTCTCACTCCTTCCTAGGGCCGCTAACGAACTCCAGTAAAATCGTCTGGGTTTTAATTTTTATAAGATCCAACATGTCCTAAAGAAAATAGGACCAGAGTTGAGATTATTATGTCTAGGACCTGTTAGGCATGTTGTCTCATACGCTAGAAGCAGTACCGTACTGTAATGTACTGGCTCAAGTCAAAGCAGTAAAAGATTATCATCTTTATTGCCATTAGTTCATATAGCTTTCGCTTAAAGAACTTAATATTTCCAGTTCAGGATTTTCATCAGAATCTGGAGTCCCCCCCCCCCTCCTCCCCCCTAGGCACGGCCTCCCCCCCCTATGCACGGCTTCCCCCTCCCCCCCTCGTCCCCCTCCTCCCTCCTCCCCGTGCCGCCCTCCCCCTCCCAGTGCCGCCGCCCCCCCCCTCCTCCTCTGTGTCGCCCCCCTTCCCCCCCCCCTCGCCCCCACCCCGAGGCACGGCCTTCGCCACGCGACCTGCCCGCCAGCAGACCTTCGGCCGCCCCGCCCTGTGGCCGCCCCCTCTCCCCCCCCGCCTCAGTGCTGTGCCTCCCTCCTCCCTCCCGCCTCCTTCCTCGGCTGGCTCCTCCCCCCCCTCCCTGGCCCCGTGCCTCGCGCCTCTCCATGGTGTGCATGTGGTGCCTCCTCCTCCCCCTCGGCCTCCCCTCCCGGGTCGGTCGGCCAGGGTCCTCGCGCTCCTCCGTCTCCTCCCTCGGCTGTCCGCTGCCGCTCCTCGCTCCTCGCTTCTCCCTCGGGTGGAGAAGGAGTGGGAGGAGGAGGGGGAGGAGGAGGAGGAGGAGGAGGAGGAGGAGGGGGAGGAGGAGGAGCGGGAGGAGGAGGGGGAGGAGGGGGAGGAGGAGGGGGAGGAGGGGAATGAGGAGGGGGAGGAGGACTTGGCCCTCCCTTTCCCTTGCCTCGCTGGCCCCTTGCCGTCCTCGTTCGGGCCGCCTTGGCCGCTGCCTGCGCTGCCCCCGCCCCT